GATTCAGTATGTTGTCGGAAAGAAAAATAACTAGGCCATAGTGTAGCCAAACACTATTTTTCTTCACAGGCTATTTCACCTCAACCGTATTTTTAAAGCAACGCTGCCATCTAGTGTACAGTCAGAGAACATAAAGTGCCTACAGACACCCATTTCACGAACGATCAATCCGTTTAATACGTGATGCCGTGGGAGCCATAAACTCTTTGGAAACCTGGGACGGACGAGGATAGACAGGGATGGAGGACGATTATTATATGAATAAAGACAGCGGGACAATGACGGAAGCGTACCCTGGTCACGGACGGAGCGGCAGAATCTGGTAAAGTGCCCATCTCTGGTGAGCAGCAAACAGCAACACCATGTTTCAGATGAATTTGTGTGCAAGCCATACCGATTGATGATTCCCTGGAAAGAAAGACCAGCCCAGAAGCTGCATCCTCCTCACAGTCCCGTCCTGTCCGTCTAACTCGGGGGTAGGGAACTGCGGTTCCTCGAAAGCCATATCCTGTTTTTGATCTCTCTCCACTTCAACACACCCGATTCAAACAATCAGCTCGCCAGCAAGCCGTGTAGAAGCCTGAAAGGATCACGATCAATTGAACGACAGGAGTGCTAGAGTAGGGAGAGATCGAAAACAGGCAGGATACGGCTCTCGAGGAATCGGGAGTTCCCTCCCCCTGATCTAGCTAGCGAACAATGTTCCTGGTAGGGGTATGAAGACTCCTGTCTTGATTCTGCAGGAAGGCAACCAAGCTGTCACTGTGACTTAAAAATACCCCCCAAAATGCCAAACTCTCGGACCATTTAGGAACGTTTCAATTACAAGCTCTAAATGGTCAAAGCTGATTGTGCCACTTTGAGTGGTTTTACTTTTGAACGTCTCCCGTATGAGCGTTCATAAAGACGGAATCGTCACACGTGGGTGTGCTCCGTTCCCGCCAGCGTCCCGACGTCGCAGACGTACTTCCAAATGGTATGTGCCACGCTTGCTTCTTTTCTTCCGACCTCTCCCCGGTGAGTCTCCCCGAGTTGAAACACTCAAAATAGAGCTCACGCTGTGTGTGAAGATCTATTTTCAATCTGCCGCCGATGCCGCTGCTGCAGTTAAAGAGACATGTGCTTTACCTTTTGTCGTTTGATATCTGGGTCTGGCCTCAAGTGTGAGGATTCCTCCTCTGAAGACGTTGCGCAGAGCTGTTTGAATCGCAACAGCGGGGGGAACAATGCTGGGAATCAGAGTGCAACAACTGCGGGATTTTCAAGGGAAAAAAAAAATAATGGATGGGGAATGGGATATAAAAAAAAAGCATTCAGCAAAGAAGAAGAACACACATTAGACATCTGAAAAACATTGTCATGGGGAAGTGTGTTGCCCTCTTGAACTTGGTTTGGGTTAGCATTTACCCAACGGGGACGGGATCAAAGTGAAACTGGACAACTTTGGACTGGAAAATGGGCTGGAGGTGAGCTGTCATGCTGCTTGTTGAATGCAAATAGTTAACGTCTCTCGTAAGGAAACGCCTCTGAACTCAATGCGAGGATCTTTCGGATTCTGTCCATCCATCCATTTTCTGATCGACTTAATCCTCACAAGGGTTGCGGGGTGTGCTGGAGCCTATCCCAGCCGTCTTCGGGCAGTAGGCGAGGGACACCCTGAACCGGTTGCCAGCCAATCGCAGGGCACACATCGACGAATAACTATTTGCGCTCACACTCATACCAAGGGACAATTTGGAGTGTTCAATCAGCCTGCCACGCATGTTTTTGGAATGTGGGAGGAAACCGGAGTTACCCGGAGAAAACCCACACAGGCACGGGGAGAACATGAAAAGTCCACACAGGGAGGCCGGAACTGGAATCGAACTCGTTACCTCTGCACGATGAGGTCGACGCGCTAACCACTCGTCCACCGGACCGCCCTGATTCAGTCCTACAACCCCCCAAATTTTCTGCTTCTGTACCAGCCGTCACCGGAGTTCAGCACTTCTGCTTGAACGCAACAGAGGGAATCTGGATCCCCAGCGGCGCCAGATGCTTGCCAGTTCCTCATCAGCTGTTCAAACAGCAGCCCGATATGCAAGTGCGGAGGGCCGGCGCGGACCCCCCTCGGGCACTGTCAGGCACTATCAAAGGCAAGCAGAGTGTAGTACAAAGTTAGCTTCCGATGCATCACCAGCTACTGTATTTCATCACGCGCGCAGGAGATCCAACGCAGGAGCCAGCGCTAATACGGCCTTTTCAAAGCTCAAACCAATCCAACTCCAGTTCGCTGCCCAAACCGTAATCCGATAAAACTTGAACAGGTCGAGTCAAGACCGACATTGATACCGGTGTAAGTCGCAAGCATTACTTGCAGGCATGATGCCTCCTCACTCGTGAACAGAAACAGAGAGCAAGTGGTTCATAATCACAAACCTTCCAGATCCGGGCCTCCTCTCAAGAGGGACAAACCAATTAATACCGGCAGCTAAGTCTTATCTTGAGTACTTCTCGTTGCTCTGCTATCTCGCTCCCTCTCTTTCCTTCCAATGGGCTGTGTCTGTCATTGCCCTCATTTGTGGGAGCCGGTCCCGTTTTAAGAGCAGGGCGAGGCTGGGCGGACATCTTTTTGTGTCTCTGTTGCGTCGAAGATTTCGAGTGTAATTGCTGCACTCGGCGCTAATTAACGCTCCGACGGAGATAAGCTGGCGAGACGCTGTGAGCTGCGTCGTGTCTGTTTGCTGATAAAGGGACGTTTTCAGGTGGAAGAGGAAACCAACATGACAGCGAGGCAGACACTGGAACGCCACTTAAATTCTAATTACATGCATTCTTTTAGTGGGGGGGGGCAAAATCGGTGTGTCGCTTTCGTTCATCAAAAATACATCCTAACGTTCAACAATGCTCGGGCGGGGATTGTCCGATCCTGGTAGGAATTTAGACTGAAATGGTTTATTAATGAGGGAAATAGACGTTAAATTGCAACGCTGGTTGGTTTGAGTTCAAAACAGATCAGATGAGAGCTTCTTCGATCTCCTCAAATCGTCGACAAGCGTTTATGCCCACATCTCGCAGTGGGGATGGCAGCCAGCGGTGGCGCTCCCTCCGAATCAGAGAAGTTAATCCCGCCAGTGACGACAGAGCCTTCATATGGAGGCCAAGGAGGTGAGGGACTGTGTGCCGGGGGATTATGGGTAAGGAGATGAGCAAACAGTCTCACGGTAAACAACGACGGTTCGAGTATTGCCAACGAAAGTCGCTTTTTTCACCAAAAGCGCTTGCGTCTGCTGCTTGCAGATGTTCAAACCTTTTTATTTTTTATTTTTTTTCTTCCCAGACCAGTTTTTGATAACGTAGCGATGGCAGAAGACCCGCGCCCCGGCGGTCATTACCTACCAAATTACAGCCCAATGTCAAGGCAATTTCCAGATAATCACCCGCGTTACAGAGATAGACGGCGCTCCTTCTATTTTGCCGCTCCACAGTGCCGTTTCAAACCAAAAAGCGGAGCTCCCTTGCTCTCAGGCAGGGCCCATTATCGTTCGCCTCCGTTCCCATCAAAAAGATTCAATTCCACAATCAGTCTGTTGTACTTCAACAAATATAAGCCTATTTTTTTCGAGATTCTCTTCCTTGGCGAAATCCCGCTCAGGGAGGGAATGTTTGCACGTTGCCGTGGAAATCTGGGTTCTTTCTCAGAGCCGCCACAGAAGGAGTCGGCCGTGCGGCTTCTCATCGCGTCTTTCAGAAAGAAAAATCAAAGTCGCATCTTCTTTTAACGTCCTGTCATCAAAAGAGCAAAGCGTCAATATCGGGTGACGGTGAGAAGGCGTTGCTGTTTGATGAGCCGTTGCCTCCACAGACTTAGATTGCAGCGTGAAGGAAGACCACTGACCCCCCCCCTCCTCCCCCCGTCCTCCACCTGCAGCATTTGTGTTGACTTGTTCTGCGGCAACAGTTTCGCTTTTGCTTTCCATCTCCTCGTTCCACTTGCACGCTTTCCGAGCCACTGGCTGCGGCCTTTAATCGTCGGTGGCACCTGTCCCCATGAGCCATAATGTCCGCCATCCATCAGCGGGGGGGTGCTCGTACGGCTCCCAATTGCCTCACCCTCCCCTTCCTCCATCACTGATACAGGCAAGGGGGAAAAGGCTCATCCGACCATAGCAGAGAAGCCGGGAAGCGTCTGATGAAGAACCAATCCGGCAGTATTGATCTCGACCAATCTAGAGCTAGTCAAGACCAATCGAGAACCGATGTTTAAGTGCTCCGTGAAGACCGCGAGAGAACTTTGTACTCGCCTTGAGGCAGACTCATCTCACAAAGCAGATGAAAAACAACGCAGTGTCATGATAAAAGGAGCCATGTATTATTTTCATCAGAACATAAGACCATTTTTTGCCATCTTTTTGTAACCGGCATGTACAACTCCTAAGTATGCAATCAAACTTTTTTTTTTTTTAATGGCAGCCAACAATGTTAACTCATCGTTGATTCTGTTGATGATGAAGTCGTTTCACCCGATAAGGAAATTTGAGACATTCAGTCCAAAGAGCCCACCGGATTGCAATTCAACTTTCCAATTATTTGTTTCCCCCACAAATAAAAATCCAGTGCTATTATGTTCACAAAAAAACATTCAGCACTTCAACATTTTCAAATTGAGTCATAGAATTAAAAGTCTTCCATGGATGGAGATTAGGGCGGCGTGCTATCCGTCCATATCACCCGTGGGTGAGCGTTACATATTTTGACAGTCGTGGAGGCTTTCAAAGGAATTTGTAAACGTTCACGTGCAGCAATAAGCACACTTGAGATGGATCACATGCGCGCTAAAAGAGGAAAAAGACAATGAGAGATGAGAAGATGTTAAAAAAAAATTTTTAAACTGTCGATCTTTTTTTTTTCACCCCCAAACATCTGGAATACGTCGTCGTTTTTATACCGACTGAGATAAAAGGCTAATCGCAGTCACTGACGCTTCATTTGACATGCTGGGTGCCATTTAATGTGTGGAAAAAGAAAGAACCTTGGTGACAGCGTGCCAGTGTGTGATTCACTTCCTCAATTTTTCACAAATCTTTTTTTCTAGTCTTTTTAATGGTCTTTCTATATTTAGACACAAAGTGCGTATGCGTGTGTGTGTGTGTGTGTGTGTGTGTGTGTGTGTGTGTGTGTGTGTGTGTGTGTGTGTGTGTGTGTGTGTGGGCCACTGCATGCCCGCGCCTCTTTTTACCCGTTGCTCGTGTCGCTCGTGTCGCCCGTGTCTGTGAGGCCTTCAGTCAGCTGCCTGTCATCATCAGCGCCGTTTAACTTCTTTTTGAACCTCTACCGTCAACATTTCTTTTGACTGTGGGCACTCCCAGGGAACCATCGTCATGACGAAAAGAGAGACAGCAAGGTCCGAAAAAGGTCAACTTCAATCAATCCCGGGCCTGACGTGACAACTGACGTCACCACCTGACCTGCACGCGCTTCCCCCTCCTCATGATTCGGGCAGTCTCACCACTTTTGCCGGCAGCCATGAAAATGGCCGCCCCTGCCAAAAACAGGCTGCCCTCAGCAACGGTGGAGGCAAGGCCAACCTCGCCAACATATGCGCTTGCTTACTCACACACATGCTCGGACCCACGTACGTTTCGTTATCCCGATGTGGTGAATTCCCACTCCATCCCTCCCCTCCTTTATTTGCTCTTGGCCTGCGTCTTTCGGGCAGACCCGCACCTCCGCCTACGTCCACCGCTACTGTGACGGCTCCGCGCCCACGCCGCCGCCGCCAACCACCGCCAACCACCGCACTGCGCCTTGTCTCAGCGTATTCCTTTTGACAGCGGGGTATAAACAGAGAGCCCGTGCTGGAGTAAATGGAAGCGAATGGTGTGCAGCTCACACAGACTTGATCCTTCTGCGGAGTGCCCTGAAGCTGAACAGACAAAACACTCGAGCCATTTGGACAGGGATACCTTGGGAGGAGGGGGGACTTATACGATGAGTTTATATCTTAATGAGGCCGTGATTGAGTCCTCGGAGGAATTTCTGTGATAGAATCTCCGCTGGGTGGGCGTGGTCAAAAATTGAGTGTCGTTCTTTATGCTCAGGGTGCTTCGTGAGTTGACAGTCTGACATATCACTCAGTCATTGACTCGTCTTGCGGCAAAACAGCTTGTTAGGGCCACACTTGAATGAGGTGACTTTTGTGGGGAGGGATGTCAGGACTGCTGGCAGATGATAGGTGATGCCGCAAATGTCTGTTTAGAGATGGCTTTTTTAGTTGGAATCCTCCCTATTCAGAATTTAGATGGCATTGTCTTTGAAGGAAGGAGTGTCGCTTCTTCCTGAGACGCAAACGAAGCGTTGATTCTGGACCTGAAGGGGCCGTCCGCCGATGCCGCGCCGTGCGCCTGTGCAGAGGGCGTTGCACTCCTTGTCTTGCCACCGACAACCATATTGTTGACCGACCCCGACACCAAATCTCAAATTTAGAATCAAACAAGCCTTTTGGATTCGAGTTGAAATGTCTTCGACTGACAAGAATGGCCCGTTTTCTTTATTTATCCGTTCAGGATGACCATGACCTGGATGAGCGAATCTCTACAAAGGCTTTCATTCAGGCTGAAGTCAATGATGAAAATTCAATCACACATTTTTTTTTGTTGCACTTGGAGGTTGTAATACTCTGGTTTCACATTCAATCACGACGCGGATACGACAGGCAGCACTGCAGTCAACAAAGACCACACCAACTAAGAACAAGTTCTTATCGAGACTAGAGAGTAATGAGACAAGACGAAGACTGTATATACTATAGGAAAATCTCACACACACACACACACACACACACACACACACACACACACACACACATACACACACACACACACACAACCCAGAATCAAAATGACTAGCAACGTTTCATCATTATGTTTGCCACAAAAACAAATTCTGCTTTGTTGTTTGTGAAATGTGAGAAACAATTTTCAAATCTAAGGAAATGTGTTTTCCTTCTACAAATTATTGAATGATTTTATGAAAACTGAATCCACCCTGACCGTGATCAATGTCATTTTTCTTTTTTTTTTTCAAGAAAAAGTCAGGAATTATTGTAGGGAATGGAAAAAAAAAACCCTTGACATATCTTTTCCTCAAGGTATTTTTAAAAGAATCTTCTCCAAAATAGGGCTTTCACTCTGATATTTTTGTGTGTTCGCCTGTCAACTTCGGTGCGCGGCAATGACCTTTCACAATCCAGAACCGTTATTTTCCTCGCAATTTGCCGATAAAAGTTGGACGTTGTTTCTGTAAGCAGCACAGCGCAGAATTGGGAGAATGAAAAAGTCGTCTCGAGCACGACAATGTTCGTGTGAGGACAAAAACATCTGCGAAGCAGTGGGCAAAAAAAAAAAAATTAAAAAATGAAGAGTATGAGCTGGAGTCTCTCACAAGTATCGCTTATTGTTTTGTACTTAACGAGGTTCAGTAAAACGCTCTCGAGCGCATGTGGTAACGCTTGTTTATGAGACAAAATGTAAATGAGAGGTTTTACTTTGGAATTTGGGAGGATGCAAACGTCTTTCCGTTCCCCATCATCGGATCTCATTGAATTGCCAATGCAGCAAAGTGCCCAACAATTTTCCACCCCCCGTTACGCAATTTCAACTGGCCCCAGTCGAAGCTGCAAATGCACCCTAAGTGGTGTTTTACTCGCAGGCAGAGACACCTGCCGTTTCCTCGCATTTCCAAATGGATTATTAAAGCCGCGAAAAGACACGATGATTAAGGAAAGAGCAGCAAGTGACTGCCCGCTCTGCATAATGCTGACTTCACCCAGGGCTGAACCTGCTGCACTGTTGATGAACCTTTCATGCTCTCCAAACGCCATCGTCGCCCGTATTAAGACCTGAGGCGCTTTCAATTGAAATCGTATTTCATATCTGGCGAGAGCATGTGTCGCAAAAGCGCCGTGCCGTTCTTCTGAATGCGCCCACAGGGCACATCCACACAAAATGAAATTCATTTTCCAAAATAGGCATTGGAATTCAAGATGTGTTTACTGCTCGTTTTCGCCCGTAGACAACAGTGCGTTTTGTTCCTTTCGATACAAATCCGTCAGTCAACAAACCGCCCGAGTGTGGACGCAGCCTTCCTCGGGGAAGAGCTTAATGAGGAACGAGCTCATTAAAAGCGCCACCCCCAAAGGGATGTTGTAAATTGCCTCAGTGCCCTCTGGCATTTGACGGGCGACCCTTGGACGAAGGACGCTGCAGTGGCATCGATTTCACCCGCGCACTCCTCTCCACGTCGGCCATGCCGAGTAGAGACACTGAAAATGTCGGAGCAGGAACATAAACAACAAGGCCTGAAAATCTATTCGGACCACTTAAACCATGGAACAAGATCCAAATGTAACCTTGAAGATTTGAAATGCAAAAGCCGTCAGGCGCCATTTCCACAAAAATGTCTCAGCTCATCGGTACGGCACTAATATTAGTTCTTTGCAGAGGAACAAGAATATGACTGAATGTTTGTGTTATAGCGGTGGAACCTGAATGCTTTTGAGCATTAGCATTAGGCTCGTGGACTGAAAAATTGTCTGAAGTCCACAACATGTCATTCTCTTTGCTGTTGGTTTCGTTTGGTAGTAAACTTCCACTGCGAAGGGCAATAAACAAATTGAAGGTACTTTTTTTTTTTAAGTACTATTTGTTGTCTGCTTTTGCATTTGAACTTTTCTACTCAACCTTTTCAACGTTTTGAGTGAAGAGGCGCGAACGTCATTTCAAAATGAAATTGTAACCCGTCAATCAGCTGTCAAGCGGCCATCAGCTGCAGACAAATGCATCAGTGTCTCAGACTTATGTGGTATTATTTGGAAAGGAAAACTGTCTGTTACATGACAGAATTTAAAAGCAGCAAAAGGAATCGGGTCCCAAGGACATCTTTGAGGGGGACTAAACGGTTCTATGATCCGTGCACGGTGAGGTAGCGATACTTCGATCGCACTTTACAAAACTGCTGCCTCGCTCCTCTTACAAAGCGGATGTTGTTGTTTTTTTTAATCCATTTTACCTGGAGCACCATGAGCACACTTTATATTTCAGGTCTTTGCGTTGTTGAGATGCTAAACTATCTTGGATTTCTTTTTTTTTTTTGGTTTTTCTAACGATATGTACAGAAGAAATAATAGCCTTTTCATATCCCTGAGCGTTCTCAGGCTTCCGTGCACATCCCAGCAGCAAAGCCATCTGCCGTGATTACGCCGCTCCCGAAAGGTTGAGCGCTGACTCGAGTCTGCCACTGAGTCAATTGCGTGTGGAGGTAATCTTGTCAAAGTGGTGCACCTGCAAAGGATTTCTTTTTACCCCAAATGCAGAATAATGCATCGCATTGAATGCACACTAGTACAAAGTATATGGACTAAA